CATGGAACCTCCTGTGCTCCAGTTTGCACCCACTGCCCCTTGTCCTGTCACTGGACATCACTGCACAAAGCCTGGCTCTGTCCTCCTGACACTGCCCTGAACAGATTTGTGCCCATGGATGAGGTGGCCCCTCAGTCTCCTCTTCTCCAAGCCCAACAGCCCCAGCTCCCTCAGCCTTTCCTCAGCAGGGAGATGTTCCCCTCCCTCCAGCATCTCTGGGGCTCTGCCCTGGGCTCTTCCCAGCAGTTCCCTGTCCTTCTGGAACTGAGGGGCCCAGAACTGGACACAACATTCCAGATGTGGCCTCACCAAGGCAGAACAGAGGGGCAGGAGAACCTCCCTTGACCTACCATCCACCCCCTTTCTAACCCACCCCAGATGCCATTGGCCTTCTTGGCCACAAGGGCACATTGCTGGTCATGCTCATCCTCCTGCCCACCAGGACCCCCAGGAGGAACCACAGGAGAAGCTGTTCAAAATGAGGATCAAATTGGAGATGCAGGCAAACCCGTGGCTGGGCTGTGGCTCTGGGTGTTCCCAGCCCTGGTTACACCTCCCCAGCCCCAGGGGGACAGGCAGGGTTTCCTGCAGAGCCTTTTTGGGTTTGCTGTGCCCAGGGACATTCCTTTTTGCCAGCCAAATGCCCCCCAAACCAGGTGGTCCTGAGCTTCTGGCTCCCACCATACCTTCCTTTTTTGAGATCTTCCTTCTCCAGCCACTTCCAGCAAACATTTAACCCCCCCTGATGCTTCTCAGCCCCAGCACTGGGACCATTTCAAGGTGCAGATGATGAGGTCTGGTCCAGGGATGTTCCATCCAAGGGGTTTCTATTTTTCTCTCTTGGTTTAAACCAACCAGTTTGGTGAAAAGGCATTTTTAGGCTTCTCAGTGACAGTTTTTCAAAGCCCTTTTCCTGTTGGTAGTTCCACCCTCACACGTGTCTCCTGCAGCAAAAGCAGCTTCTCTATTTTTATTGTCTAAAAAAACCCCAACAAACCCTGTTTGTTTTGCTTTTCTTGTTCTTCTGGATGATGAGAATGAACCACTTTTGTCTTTTCAACCCCAAACTGCTTCTGTGGTGGAGAAACTGCCTTCTCCTCCCAGCCTGGGGTTGCAAATGATTCCATGCCAGGATTTCATGTTTAACATGACAAACCTGGTCATTTTGAGGCCTCTTATGGATACTTGGAGGTTAAATCCTGCTGGATCTGGATGTGTGGGAATTCCCACAGCACCTGGTCATGGGAAATAGGTGGAAGGGAGGCAGAGCTGAACAGACCCAGGTGCAGAAATGGGCAGAAGAACTGGGGAGGGCAAATGTTTCCACAAAACCAGGTCCCATGGCTCAACAAGGTGGATGCAATAGAAGCTTTTTTTCCTCCAGCTGGTCAGGTAATTCCTGAAGGAGGCATCTGGTGTCTCCTCTGGAGATCTGGAAGGGGATCAGCACCAGGAAAAGCCATGGAGCTGGGTGGGATGGGTGGGAGTGGGAGTTGTGGGGGAGCAATAGGGTGGGGATTCGAGTGGGAGGAGTTGGGGGGTGTTTGGGAGAGGGTTTGATCCTGTTGTGGTGGGTGTTTGGGAGGGGGTTTGGACCTGTTGTGGGTGTTTGGGAGAGGGTTTGGACCTGTTGTGGGTGTTTGGGAGAGGGTTTGATCCTGTTTGGACCTGTTGTGGTGGGTGTTTGGGAGAGAGTTTGGACCTGTTTGGACCTTTTCTGGTGGGTGTTTGGGAGGGGGTTTGATCCTGTTGTGGTGGGTGTTTGGGAGAGGGTTTGATCCTGGTTGGACCTGTTCTGGTCTGTCTTCTGGGTCTGGGGCACCTGGGTGCAGAGTGGGCTGAGGAGCCCAGGGCTGCTGTGGTGGAGTTGAGCAGTGATGGGGTGGGCTGGGGACTCCCAGCATTGCCAGAGGTTTTTGGGAAGCTGCCTAGACCCTCAGCACCAGGGTGTTCTGGAGGGTCTGTGCTGGGGAGGTGTTGGCAGGGAGGAGACCTTCAAAAGGGACCCCTGAGGATGGGCAGATGGAGGCCTTGAGAAGACAGAGAGAGCTTGGACATGTTGACATCCACCTGCCATCCCTTGGAGCTTATGAGCTCATAAATGCTGCTCAGTATTTACAGGGGGAGGATGGGCCAGACTCTTCCCAGTGGTGCCCAGTTCCAGGAGGGCAAGGAGCTGCTGGAGAGAGTCCAGCCCAGGGCACTGAGATGCTGAGGGGGCTGGAGCATCTGCCTGGGAGGAAAGGCTGGGAGAGCTGGGGCTGTTGAGCCTGGAGAGGAGGAGGCTGAGGGGGGATCTGCTCAGTGCTGATCAATATCTGCAGGGGGTGGCAGGAGGATGGGGCCAGACTCTTCCCAGTGCTGCCCAGGGACAGGACAAGGGGCAATGGGCACCAACTGGAGCCCAGGAGGGTCAAGGTGAAGATGAGGAGGAACTTCTTTGCTGGGAGGGTGGCAGAGCCCTGGGACAGGCTGCCCAGGGAGGTGGGGGAGTCTCCATCCCTGGAGACATTCCCAGCCCTCCTGGACGTGTTCCTGTGGGATCTGCTCTAGGGGATCCTGCTCTGGCAGGGCTTGGATGGGTGATCTCCAGGGGTCCCTCCCAACCCCCACCACTCTGTGATTCTGGGATTGCTTCCGTCTGAGATTTCAGGCAGAAAACATCTCCTGAGATCATAGAATCTTAGGGGGCTGGAAGGGACCTCGAGAGATCATCTAGTCCAACCCCCCTGCCAGAGCAGGGTCACCTAGAGTACATCACACAGGAACGCATCCAGGTGGTCACTCTCACAGTAAAAAAATTTTTTCGGATATTCACCTTGAACTTCCTATGCTCCAATTTACACCCATTACCCCTTGTCCTATCACTGGTCATCACTGAGAAAAGCCTAACTCCGTCCCCCTGACACTCACCCCTTACATATTTGTAAACATTGATGAGGTCACCCCTCAGTCTCCTTTTCTCCAAGCTAAAGAGACCCAGCTCCCTCAGCCTTTCCTCATAAGGGAGATGTTCCACTCCCCTAATCATCTTCGTAGCTCTGCGCTGGACTCTTTCGAGCAGTTCCCTGTCCTTTTTGAACTGAGGGGCCCAGAACTGGACACAATACTCCAGATGTGGCCTCACCAATGCAGAATAGAGGGGGAGGAGAACCTCTCTTGACCTACTAACCACACCCTTTCTAATGCACCCCAGGATGCCATTGGCCTTCTTGGCCACAAGGGCACATTGCTGGCTCATGGTCATCCTCCTGTCTACCAGGACCCCCAGGTCTCTTTCACCTACACTGCTCTCTCCAGCAGTTCAGCCCCCAACCTGTACTGGGACATGGTGTTGTTCTTCCCCAAATGTAAAACTCTGCACTTCCCCTTGTTGCATTTCATCATGTTTCTCCCCGCCCAACTCTCCAACCTATCTAAGTCTCTCTGAATAGCAGCACAGCCTTCTGGTGTGTCAGCCACTCCTCCCAGCTTAGTGTCATCAGCAAACTTGCTGAGGGTACATTCTATACCCTCATCCAGGTCGTTGATGAAGATGTTGAACAACACCGGTCCCAGTACCGACCCCTGTGGGACTCCACTAGTCACACACCTCCAACCAGATTCTGCCCCATTGACTACAACTCTCTGACCCCTTCCTTTCAACCAGTTCCTAATCCACCTCACTTCCTGATCACCAAACCCATACGATCTGTTAACTTCATCTCATCCAGTGTCACCTGATGCTTCCCTTCTCCTTCTCTCCTGCCCATGTCATCCCCTGGTGGCACCTCCTCCAGCTGGTATCTCCTGCTGTTTTCCCCTGGTGTAGCAGCTTGGTGGCTGTGACTCCTTGGAGCTGGGTTCCCACCAGCCCTTTGGGTCAAACACGGTGCTGATAACAACTGAAGTGCAGCACAAAACAGTAGAAGAGCCACCAAGGAGTGGTAAGAAGAGAAAAGAGTGACTCCTCTTCAAGCTGAAGCTCTTCAGATGGAGAGGTGGCACTGGTGGCCACGGCCATGGCCTCGTAGCAGGGGGTGACTCCACTTTTAGGCCACATGATGCAGAGTTCCCACCTCCCTTGGCACCTCAGCCCCCACAGACCCCAGGCCCATGTGCTGCCTCCAGTTTGGTGGGATGTGAGACCATCCCAGCAATGCTGAAGAGGGAAAGGTGCTGTGTCCCAGCTGCCTGGAGGTGCCTGGGGGAGAGAGGAGCCCCAAGTGCTCCCATCCCTCACTCAGGGTTGATTTGCATCCCATTCATTCTGCTTCAGAGTGTCTCTTCTGGGTTGGATGTAGCTTCTAGTGGAAGAAGGAGGCTGACGTGGAGTTAGTTGGTGTTCAGCAGAGATTTGGGAGATGGAAACCTCCCATCACCCAGAACTGGGTGCTGTGTCTGAGGCCATGCACTGCAAAATACCTTGGTCTGGCTTGGAGCAACTTCAGCTGCTCCTTGAAGTGTAACTCACCTTGTTTTTTCTTCACCTACATTGTTGTCTCCCAAGTGGGCTCAGGATGGGGCAGCAGACATGGGGTGGGTGCTTGAGGTGTTGGAGACCCTGAGATGGGCAGCAGTTTAAGGAGCAGGAGCCTGGAGATGCTTCTGGTCCTGATGGTGACCTGGGCTGAGCCCTGGGTGTGCTCAGCCCTGCTGCTGGGTTTCCTTGATGCCCAGAAGACTGATCATCCAGGTGGAGCAACTGCTTTATCTCCTGCTTTGGAGCAGCAGAGGTTGACCAGCTATGGGACAAACATGCCCGTGCTGGTGGACACCATCCTACCCACCACTGCCCACTAACCTCCTCCCTTCTTCTTCCAGAGGAGACAACATTTGAGGCTGGAGTCAAGGTCCAGATCCACAGCCAGTCCGAGCCACCCTTTGTCCAGGAGTTGGGCTTTGGGGTGGCCCCTGGGTTCCAGACCTTTGTGGCCACCCAGGAGCAAAGGGTAAGTCCTAAATTTCATTTACACACCAAGATCCTTCCTCTGGGTCCACAGGAGAGGTCACTTCTACATCTTGATGCCCCTTGAGAGGCATCTTCATGATACTTTTATGCCTCACGTGAAGTTGGTTGGGATGAGGCACCTTCTCAGCATTGCTTCCCCAGTCATTTTGGCCACAGAAAGGACCTCAACCCCCAGTGATTTCCCTGCCTTGCTCTTCCATGGTTATGGTTCAGCTGCATCTTCCCTCCCTGAATCCATCCTGACCCATCCTGAGTCCCTGGCACATCATCAGGGTGCAGATGGATGTGCTGAAGCACCATTAGACCCAAATCCTGCTTAGACATTGACAAAGGTGACCAGTGGGATTATTTTTCCCCCCCAGTTTGGCCCCCAGTGCTTTCATACTTAGCCCTCCTGCCTTGTTGCCTCTCTCATTATCCTCCCTGCTCTTCCAGCCCCCCCTCAAATGGGACATAAATCAAGCTGAGGGATATGAACATGATCTGGTGGAGGCTTTGTTCTGATGAAACCTCAGATCAGAGGAGATCAGAGTTGCAGGCCTGACACTTCAGCTCAGAGCAACCTGGGGAATTCACCACCAAATACATCATGAAATCATCTTCTCCGTGGTCACCAGGCACCAAAACATCCCCAAGGAGCCTGGATGCAGCTCCTTTCTCCTTTACTTGTTATGATCATCCAGGAGAGAAGGAGCTTCAAGGCTCCTGGGAGAGCCCTGGGTGGGACCTGCTCAGCTAAAGCAGGGAAAGGTCTCACTGCTGTTGATTCAGGTCCTGGAATCCTGGAATGGCAGGTTGGAAGGGGCCTCAAGGTTATCTGGTATTAATATAGTTCCTGTGAGATGGCCCAGGACCCTGTCAGGCTGGGTCTTCAAGCTTAAATGATCTTCTTAGGGCCCCTGGGGACAAGAAGGACACGGAGGGGCTGGAGCGTGTCCAGGGAAGGGCAAGGGAGCTGGGGAAGGGGCTGGAGCACAAGTGTGAGCAGGAGCAGCTGAGGGAGCTGGGGGTGTCCAGCCTGGAGACAAGGAGCTGAGGGGAGACCTGCTGGCTCTGCAGCTGCCTGAGAGGAGGTTGGAGCCAGGGGGGGTCGGGCTCTGCTCCCCAGGAACAAGGGGCAGGAGCAGAGGAACCGGCCTCAAGTTGTGCCAGGGGAGGCTGAGGTTGGACCTTGGGAACAGTTTCTCCCTGGCAAGGGTTGTCAGGGCCTGGCCCAGGCTGCCCAGGGCAGGGGGGGAGTCCCCATCCCTGGAGGGGTTTCCAAGCCCTGGGCACTGGGAACACAGGGCCTCACTGGGAGGATTTGCCTTCACCCTCCAGGCTTCAGCCAGGCCTGGGAGAGGGGCTGGGAGCTGGAACCTGCAGCAGGACCTGCAGGACTGTGTTTTTAGGTAGAACTAGGACAAAGCAGGGCTCATACACCTCACCCCCCAACTCCCTTCTTCCCAGGCCCAAATCCCTTTGTTCCCCATTTCTCTCCCTCCTTCCCCCCAGCACAGGGGATGGGGTTCAGAGTCACTGGTGGTTCCTGCTGCTCCTTCCTCCTCAGGGAGAAGGATTCCTGACAATCCTGCCCTGCTCCCCACGGGGTCCTTCCCATGGCAGAGACTCCTCCACCAGCCTCTCCTCCATCAGCCCTTCCCACCAGGTCTGGAGCTGCTCCAGTTCCCAGTGCTTTGGGAACAGGCACCTCCCCTGGCCCTGGGGGCTTCCACAGCTGCATCAGCTGAGTCTACGGGCAGCAAATCCAAGTCCCCAGTTCAGCCCTCAGGGAATGTCCCACCACGTTCCCCCATGGGTGCAGGGGCACAGCTGCCATCTCCCCATGGGCTGCAGGGAACCTTCTGCTTGGGCACCTTCTTCCCCTTCCCAGCCTCAGGATCTCCACCCCAGCTCTGCTCTCACCTCCCCAGCTCAGCTCTTTCTGCTCCTACCTCAGTTCCTTCACATGTTCCTCACAGAGGAGCATCCATCCTTTCTCTCCAATGGCTCCTTGGCTGGTTTTGGAGCTTCTCAGCTTCTTACCCACAGGACCCTTCTCCCACCTACCAAAAAAACCCCCCCAATGAGCTCAGTGGTGCCAGTGGGAGCTTTGAAACAGCTTTGAAGGGCTTCATTTGTGGCAAGGTTAGAGCCTTCTGGCTTTGCTTGTGTCCCTGCTCAAATCTTTCCCCTCCCAGCCCAGAGTGGGAAGAAGAATCATCTTTCCTGGGCTTTACTTACTGATTTTCCAGGAATGCAGCTGCTTAGCTCAACCAAGGGCTTGTGGTTTTGGTGCCAGGGTGATAAATCCTGCATCCTTCTACCCTGAGCTTTCCCAAAGCCTCTTGTGGGAAGCAAACTGCCTCCAGGATGGTGCAGGAGCTCATGAAACCTCCTTTTCAAACCACCTGTCAAGCCTGAAAAGAAAAAAAAGAACCAAATCCATTTTTTTCTCTTGTTTCTGCAGTGGCTGAGCCCTCTGGTTCCTGCAGGGTGACACTTTCAAGATGCATTTCCCAGTCTGGGAGCTGCATCATTGAAGCAGTAGGCACCTCGTGCTGGTTGGCACCAGTAGCACCTCACGAGGGGTTCTGCACGCGTGGTGGTTGCAGGTGCTGAGTCAGCAGAAAGTGATGCCAGCAGGAGGTTTCCTCCATCAAAGGTGCTTGTTGGGTTCTGTAGGCCAAGCTGGTGCTTTGCTGTGGAGCCTGAAGGGAGATGTTTTGTGTCTGACATTTCTGGAGCAATCCCAGAATCACAGAGTGGTGAGGTGGGAAGGGACCCCTGGAGATCACCCATCCAAGCCCTGCCAGAGCAGGATCCCCCAGAGCAGATCCCACAGGAACACGTCCAGGAGGGCTGGGAATGTCTCCAGGGATGGAGACTCCCCCACCTCCCTGGGCAGCCTGTCCCAGGGCTCTGCCACCCTCCCAGCAAAGAACTTTCTCCTCATCTTCAGCTTGACCCTCCTGGGCTCCAGTTGGTGCCCATTGCCCCTTGTCCTGTCCCTGGGCACCACTGGGAAGAGTCTGGCCCCATCCTCCTGCCACCCCCTGCAGATATTGATCAGCACTGAGCAGATCCCCCCTCAGCCTCCTCCTCTCCAGGCTCAACAGCCCCAGCTCTCCCAGCCTTTCCTCCCAGGCAGATGCTCCAGCCCCCTCAGCATCTCAGTGCCCTGGGCTGGACTCTCTCCAGCAGCTCCTTGTCCTTCTGCAACTGGGAAGCCCAGAACTGGGCCCAGTTCTCCAGATGGGGCCTCCCCAGGGCAGAGCAGAGGGGCAGGAGAACCTCCCTGACCTGCTGGCCACGCTCTTCTTGATGCCCCCAGGATGGCATTGGCCTTCTTGGCCACAAGGACACATTGTTGGCTCATGGTCAGCCTGTGGCCACCAGGACCCCCAGATCTTTTTCCCAGAGCTGTTTTCCAGCCCCTCAGTGCAAGGGGAGCCAGGACTGAGCTCCAGGAGCAGCTCAGCAGGTGCTCCTGGAGCTCCAGGGACAGTTGCAATGAAAACAAAGAGTGTGGGCAGGGGTGAGGGGGTTTCCTGGGTTGATGGTTGGGCCCAGTGATCTCAGGAGTCTTTTCCAACCATGACAGTTCTGTGATTCTGTGAAGATGGTGGAAAAACATCCTCTCTGGGTGATTTTCCACAGCCCAGTGGCTCCGTCTGGATGCAACAGGAGAGGAGCTGGAGGGTTTTGCCTGGATGTGTGAGCCCCTGGCTGATGCTTCCTGGGATTTTCCCAGTGTTGGACACTGGGAAGGAGCAGGTCGTGGTCCCCATGCTGCTCCAGCCTGGCATGGAGTGGTTTCCATGGCAATTGCTGAGTTAATGAATAAGGTTTGTTGTCTCATGAATGGGCAAAGCCCTGAGCTGAGCTGTGGGACACGTCCCACTGTCACCCCCCAGGCAGGTCCCCAGGGAGGGCAGGACCACCCCAAGCAGGGCAGGGCCCTTCAGTTCCCTGCCTTTGCAGGGCTCCACCTCAAATTTTCCCTTCTCCTGGTTGTTTGGCATCAACCTGGTGCTCTAAGAAGCCTCTGTTGTGTCATTCATGGCCCTGGGGTGGCTGCAGTGTGTCCCCCCCAGACCCCTGAACCCACCAGGGCACCAAGACCTGGGCAGACACGTTGGAAATGACATTTTTGAAGGGCTGATCCCTTGGATAAAAAAAAGCAAATCAGCAATTCCCTGCTGGGTTCTGCTCCTTGGAATTGCCCTTTTCCAGCTGCACCCACCAGGGCACCAAGGCCTGGGCAGCCAGGCTGGAAATGACAGTTTGAAAGGCTGATCCCTTGGAAGGAAAAGCAAATCCCTTCTGGATTCTGCTCTTTTAAAGCTCCTTTTTTTTCCAGCTGGGTTTTCCAGCCCATCCCAGCAGCCTCTCCCAGAGGGGATGGGATCAGAGGATCAGATGCTGTTCCTTCCCCAGCTTGGCTGCCTCCTGCTGCACCCTGGACACAGCACCTTAGAGGAGATGAAAAACACACTAAAAATGGCAATTTCTGCCAACTTGGCCATAAAAATTTAAGAGGCTGCAATTAAGCAACAGGTTGGAAGCTGGAGCAATATTGTTTCATAGGGCTCTAGTGGGTCTTGGAGACTTATCCCCTCGTGATGCTTCCATGGGGCAGAGCAGCAGCTCCCAACAACTGCAGTGGGAAGAAGTGGGATTCCAGGGAAAAGGGGACTTGGGGCTCTGGCAGGGATCACTCTGAAGCCCCTGTTTACAGGCAGGGTGCAAGTAGAGGCAGCTGATTCTGGAGTTCCCAACATAAGAAGGACATGGAGCTCCTGGAGAGAATCCAGAGAAGGCCACAAAGATGATCCCAGGGCTGGAGCAGCTCTGCTCTGGGGACAGGCTGGGAGAGCTGGGGTGTTCA